TTATATTGGAAAAAAATACACGTCAGCCAAAATTAATGAACATAAATCTGCTGTTTGTTTATTTCTTGCCAAGGATTTTGACCTGATGGTATTTCTATAAATTCTATAAAAGTAAATCTTTGGGGAAGGATATCCACTTACACTGTATTGGTTACTTAATGTCGCAATATTGGGTAATAACCGTTTATATCATTAATTTTGCATCATGATGCCTAGTGCTACAAATATTTATAAATTATTGTGTTTCTGATGATAGGATTTAACTACTGAAGTGTGTCCATTGTTTTTGTAATACAGATAAGGTGGTATTCACTGTAAATAAGATTGTAACACACCATTTAATGATGGTTGTGTTTTGTCTTTGGATTTGTTGTGGTAAATGATGAATGGAATGAAGAGTAGTGTTTCAAATCTAGATAGTGTTTGCTATCACATGGTGTTCTGCAACCTTGTTAAGTAATCAAGGTAATCAAGGTCTTGTTAAGTATGCCACATGGTACTGTTTTTGTAACTTCAGTGGTAGTTGTTATGCCTGGCTTACCTAAGTTATGTGGAAGGCTTACCTAAGTCTTTGGTGTTTTTGTCAGGTGAAAGGATGGAATAAAACTTCTTAGTAACTGCACAGATGTATTTAGTAATTTTATTTTTGCTCTAAATGTCGCCACATCGATGCCTAATAAGTAACTAAACCCTTATCACAATAAATTATCTCATTGCCACAAAACCTCATCTCACCCTGCAGTCTACACCTGAATGACCTCCCCCCTTCAGCCCACTGTGCTTATGGCACATTACTCAGCTATAAATGAAACAAATCCTTCACTGTACACACACATAAAACTAGATGTATTTTGATTCCCATAAGCATGAGCTTTTAATTCTGTGGCATCCATTAACTCTTTGTGGGTGATTTTAAGACAGCATGAGGCAGACAACGGGAAGTGCTGTGTGTGGGATGCAAGATGGAAGATTAACGTGATAATACCGTTATCTCTATTTGTGTGTTACAACTGGCTATGTGTTATGGCTGGTGTGGCTGCCTATGTTAGGGGGCTTCTGTGTGCAAACTTTGTGACATTATTCTTTCATACAGGCACTGCTTATGTGGACAGTTGCCAACCATCCTCAAAGAAAACCATTCATCAGGGTCTTGTGCTTTACATATACTCACTCGCCGGCCACTTTAATAGGAACATCTTTATCCCTGCTCATTTCTGTAATTATCGTAGTCACTCAGTCATGTGGCAGCAGCACAGAGCATAATATCATGCAGATACAGGTGAAGATCATTAGTTAATGTTGTCATCAAACATCAGAATAGGGGAAAATGTGATTTCAGTGACTTTGACCTTACATGTTTGTTGCTGCTGGTTTGAGTATTTCAGAAACTGTTGCTCTCCTGGGGTTTTCACACACAATAGTAAGTTTACACAGAATGGTGCTAAAAACATGCAGTGAGCGGTAGTTCTGGAAACACCTTCTTGATGAGAGAGGTCAGAGGAGAATGGTCACATTGGTTCAGACTGACAGGAAGTCTACAGTAACTCAAATAATCATTCTTTACAACTCTGGTGAGCAGAAAAGCATTTTATTATGTACAACACATCAAACTTTGAGGCAGATGGGCTACAACAGCAGAAGACCTCTACGGGTTCCACTCCTGTCAGCTGAGAACAGGAATCTCTACAGTAGGCACAGGCTCACCAAAACACCACAGTTGAAGATGGGAAAAACCTTGTCTGTTTTTTTCACCTAATCTTCAGCTGTCCAGTTTCGGTGAGCCTGTGGCCACGGTAGACGCATATTCCTGGTTGTTGTTACCTGCTCAAGATAGGCAACAGTTGAACCTAACGATACTCAGGAGCATGCTTACGCATAGCACATCACACAGTGTGCAACAACATACACACAGACAAATACCAAATACATTTTTAAAATGAGGATTTTTACATTCAGCCACAAGAGCGTTAATGAAATTGGGCACTGATGTCAAGTGAAAAGGCATGGTGCACATTTGGCAGTCCAGTTCATCCTGAAGGTGTTCAGTGGGGTTGAAGTCAGGGTTCTGTGCAGGCCATGTGAGTTCTTCCACACTAACCTTGGTGCACCATGTCTTTATGGACCTTGCTTTGTGCCCGGGGCATTGTCATGCTGGAACAGGTTTGGGCTCCACCCCTTAGTTCCAGTGAAGGAAAATCTTAATGCAACAGTAGACATTCTATACAATTGTGTGCGTCGAACTTTGTGGCAATACTTTGGGGAAGGCCCACATATGGGCGTAATGGTCAGGTGTCCACATTCGTTTGGCCATATAGTGTAACATGAATAGAAATGATTTTTCTGATCAGTGTGCAGCATCGTTCTGGATGTTTTTATTGCATGTTATTGTCTTATGTTTTTTTTGTTGGTTTGTTATTTTTATCAACAGTTAGTTACATTGAAATGATGCCTGCCTTTTTACTGTCATCACATTGACCATTCTAGTCCATTCTGTTGTCTCTGTTGGATCCTGTTTGACCCAGGTCTGGTTTTTAAATGTGCAGTTGCAAAACACCACTTCATTGCATTCATGTGGAAAATTAATATGGGGGCTAAGTGTGTATCCATGGATGTTTGTCTATATGTGTGTGAGTGTGTGTGTGAACGGTGTGTGCATTACACAGCTGTAAGGTTCACTCTTCCAGGGTTCCAGGGTTCCAACTACTGAGTGTGGACGTTATGTTGTGTGTGAGTTTGTATGTTCAACCATGTCTGGAACAGTGTGCAGAGATCTGAGGGATTATTGACTAAGATGGTCCTGGTTGTGTTGTTCTGCCCAGTAGCTGATGGCTTTAGGAGCAAAGAATAGCTGGTTATGGGTTTTATGTCTGTGTGTGTAGAACAGAGGGGGACCAACATGAGTGAGAGAGGGTATACGGCAGCTGGCTATGTGTTCTGAAGGTTTGTGCAGTGGTGTACTGGGGGCAGCAGTGGGGGTCTGGGTCAGTTTGGCCATCTGGATTGGATTGCAGACATTCTTCCAGAATAGCATTGCGAGCAAAGGTCAGCGTGGTGGGGAGAGCTTACGGATAAGTGTGATTTTGAGCATGTGGATAAGTGCAAACATGTTGGATTTTGCTCTTTAAATTGCCAGTGTATATACCAGTGTTTGCTCCTTTAAATTGCCAGCGTATTTACACACACACAGGGTCAGCAGAATGTTGCCTGCTGTGTCAAATTGACAACATGATATTGTTTCTAAAAAAACAAGCTTGCAGTATGTACCTACAGACAGCAGGAAGGATTTTTAGACCAGTCATTTTAGAATCTTTTAGAATCTTTTAGAATCTGTAAAATATTTGGAAATTGTTCTTAAATATTTTTAAAGTTCAATTCCAGAAGGTTCAGGAAGACTGTTTTGTGTGGTTCCTACATCAAGCATTTCTGCAAAAACATCCAATTATGGGAGTTGCAGACCTTTGAAAGAAGTATAGTTGGTCCAAAATGAAACCCCATGCATGCTAATCTGCAGCATTTTTTTTATTTTATTTTTTTGGTTTCCATCTTTCAACAATTAGGAACAGATGACACTGTGTCTTAAGTGATCTTGGAAATATTTTTTTACATCTACTCATATGGACAATTTTTTTGAGCATTTTAAAATAATAAATCAATGATTAAATATATTGTGTAATGTAGAAACATAAAAATTAATTGTTATTTGTCAACTAAATGTGACAAATGTGCTTTGGAATTTACCCATTCGTTTAATTTTTTCATTTAAAAAGGTAACAAGATAAATAAAAGTTTGAAGTCATAACAAACCCTATAATATAAGTTAGCATTATGCAAAGTACCGTCTGATTCCTGTAAGCTTTAATACATTATTACCAAATTAGTATTTTGGGTGAATTGTTGCATTAACCATCCTCTTCCTCTGTTTCTGTGATTTATTTCCTGAAGGTCAGAGGCTCTGGGCTGCATCCATGCTTTCATTAGATGAGCCACTGGACCTGAAGCTGCCCAGAGGGCACATTAATGGGCGGAGCAGAGGCTCCAAGTCACCGCCCACTCTTACCTCCTCTCGGGTCCATACCAAGAGGGTTGGGCATCTGCCAATTGCTGATGATAAGACAGCGGATATTGTTCCAGCCTCCCCCCACATAGGTAATCCCAGCATGAAGCACAAAGATAACCCTAACCCTAACCTATCCAGTGTTTTTTTTTAACATAAGGTTGTCACAGTCTGAAATCTGAAAAGGAACAATAAGTGATTGATTCCAGCAACTTTTTTCAGCATTTCTGAATAATTTGCTGTTTCAGCTAGTTAGTTACATTGAATTGATGCTATGCTAGTTAGTTGCAGTGAACGCCATGATGGGCTTCTGTGTTGCTAGTATAACCTATAGCCTGTCAAACAGCTAACAGGAACAATTTGGATTTATTTACATTTAGTCATCTTACTGTAACAATGGCAGACTACAAGGATGTGGAGGAGATTGATTATTTCCAAAATGCCCCAGAGCTCCATTAGTTCATACCAGAATAAGCAAACATTGAATTGCAGAGGAATGATGAAAAGAGAGAGCCAATGGAAGAGATACTAAAGAGCCCGATGGGAAAGATTTATGTTTGCAATAGTCTCCAGAGTAATTCACCATCATTTTTAAGACCTAATCTAATGTTCTGCATCTTTTCAGATAATTAGTAGTAGCTTCACCTTCATTTATCATGTGTAACAGCTTATCCAATTCAGGATTTTGGGGAATCCAGGATCTGTCCCTGAAAAACTAGGTATAAGGGGTATACTAACAATGTGGTTTTCAGATTGGGCACTGCTGCTCAGATTTATTTTAAAACACAAAATGTTATATTAAATTAGTTAGAGATCACCAACATTAGCTATCCAGCTAAATGTACATATGATCACATTTGAGATATGATCAATCAGTAGCTCTCTGTGCTATACTGTATGTGATTGACTTCCCTTTTCTCTGAGTTACTCAATTACACAGTTGGGTCCCTGGAGGACTAGTGGTTAGGCCTCGGTGCTCTCACCCCCACGGCCTGGGTTCAATTCCTGACCCCAGCCACTGGGGTTGCACAATATAGTGCTGGTCCTAAGCCTGGTTAAAATCGGGGAGGGTTGTGTCAGGAAGGGCGTCTGGCGTAAAAACTTTGCCAAATCAAATATGAGGACCAGTGATCCGCTGTGGCGACCCCTAACAGGAGCAGCTGAAAGAGAAATGACAACAATTCAATTACTCAGTTCTGGTATAAAAGAACTTGCAGTGTCTTTTTTTTTTTTTTTACATTGATTTATATGTATTTTTGATGGGGTTGGGCTGAATGGCACAAGACTAATTCATATTTTTAATAAGGCTCATAAGTGAGTGAGTGAGTAAATAAGAGGAACTGATAACAGCTCATATGTCTGTATGCGTAGGTGTACCCATGGTGCCCCAGGAGAAGCCTGAACTCCGCACACCTCCTGCAGTGGACCTCAGTATGTCTCCGTCCTCTCGTCACACACCCTGCTCCCCTGAGCTCACTAATGGAAATGGCTCCTCTCATTTGTTCTCAGGGGTGAGTACAAGAGTGCAAGTCTTAAAAGGAGTACCTCACCCAAAAATGCAGGGTGGCTAAACAGGAAAGGCTCAACAGGAAAGCGTTTGCCCTGTCGTCCAGAGATCATGAGCTGATGATGCCAGAGCCATCCGCAGCCAGGAGTCCGCGAGAGCAAAACTGGCCATGCTATCTGGGTAGGATGGGAAGCATTCTCTCCCCTGTCAATCACAATCACTTCAGCCAATTGTGAGCTCATGCTTGTGGATAGTGCTTTCCTCCAAGTGTGTTCACACCAACACACAGTTAGTTGGCTGTGCACAAACGAGGAACAATAAAATTACTTCATCCAGCTAAGCCACCATTTTCCTATGGGGAGAGAGAGAGAGAGAGCAGTCCCGCTTTGGTACTTTAAGCTTTCACACTAAGTGATACAAGCTGCTTATGTGATTTGACTGGATCAAGCCACAGTTTGCCTACCATTTTACAGTACTAAGTATAAATAATAATTGTCTCATTCCTTTTACCGTTTAAGAAGCATGAGTACAATTACTTACCATTACCACACATAAATTGCTACACTTAATTTGGCCAAAAGAAAACTGCAGAAGAAAGAAATTCAGAAATCTCTGAAAAAACAAAACATGTTTTGCAGTTGGTGGTAAATTCACCACATGAGTTATAGCTAATAGTAAGAAGCTAATTATGAGTTATGAATAACTCTGTTAGCCTCATTGGCCCAGCTCAGTGCTCTGGGAACAGGAGGCAGGGTTCTTATTAAATACCCCCTGTGTCCTCTAACATAAGTGCTTCTCTAGTTCCCTCTCAGGCGCAGCTGAAGGGATGCAGGGGTAAATCAGATTTAGTGCAAGATATGAGTATCCAGACCTCATGCTACTTAATTCAATTCAGTCCCAACTGAATTGAGGGCCTGCTGGCTGTGCTCAATCAACAGCTGGAATCTCACAGACCCTATTCAGCCCTCATCAACACCAGCATCCTCACAACTGCCTGACTGAGATTTTTGAGATTTGTCATGCACATTTAACACATAGCTCGAGACAGGCACTGTGTTTAATCAAAAGCTGTTTTCCAAGATGTCTGGTCAACCTTTCTCTTGCTCTTCTTTTAATAAAAATACCATCAATTCTTAAATATATGACTATATATCACATATTTATTTATCAAAGGATTTTAGCCATGGACTATACATTCAGCAGCCACTTTAAAAAAAAACCAAAATACTGAGTGGCAGTTCAGTGGGCATAAACGTCTTTATGAGAGAAGTCATAGGAGAATGGCTAGACTGATTTGAGTTGACAGGAAGGCTATGGTAACTCAAATAACCACTCTTTACAACTGTGTTGAGCAGAAAAGTATCTTGAGCCTTGAGGTGAATGGGCTAGCAGAAGATCAGGTTTTACTCTTCCCAAGAGATCAGCAGTTCCTGAAATGCTCAGACCAGCTGGCACCAACAACCATGGCACAGTCAATGAGATCACATTTTTTCCCACATTCTGATGTTTGATGTGAACATGACCTGAAGCTCTTGACCTGGGTCTGCATGATTTTATGCATTGTGCTTCTGCCACATGATTAGCTGATTAGATAATTGCATGAATGTGCAGGGGTACATGTGTTCCTATTAAAGTGGCTGGTGAGTGTATACCTTACAATGTATTACCATACTATCTACTGTAAAAGTACAGTTGATTAGCATTATGTTTTAAGGAGGTCAAGTGTGTTGAGGCCAAGTTTCCTGCATATCAGCTACACAGATTGCACAAATTTAAAATTTCCTCATCATCCAGATCCATGTGAAAAACCAAAGAGCTTTCAGTACAAAATAAATTGATGGACATTGACCAGCACAAGGAAATGTATATAAAATATAGTGATGGAAAAAGAACGTACACCCTCCTTCAGTTCTATGTTTTTATTTACCTGGGCCTAAATAACAATTGTGTGGTCCTCACCAACTTCTATAAACAAACAAATGATCTCTGGTGACAACAACAACAACAAAAAACCCACAACAGATTGCATTGTGTAGTCATTTTTTCCCAAAAAGTAAACCAACATTCAGAAACCAGGTGGGAAAAAATAAGTACTCCCTTCCTACTTACATGATTAAGAGAATAATTAGCAGCCAGGTGTTACTAATGAAATGCACAAGATTAGTCAGTCAACTACCTCTATAAAAGGAGAACTTTTGGCAGTTTGGTGTTCCGGAGCACTCGGGTGTGTGTCTACATCATGCCAAGAAGAAAGGACATCAGCCATGATCTCAGAGAAGCAGTTGCTGCTGCTCATCAATCTGGGAAGGGTTATAAGGCCATCTCCAAACAATTTGAAATTCACCATTCTACAGTGAAAAGGATTGTTCTTCAAGACAGTTGCCAGTCTTCCCAGGAGTGGGTGTCCCAGCAAACTCAATACAAGGTCAGACCATTTAATGCTCAGAGATATAAAGAAAAACCCAAGAGCTACATCATGTGACCTACAGGCCTCTGTAAGTACATTAACTGTTTATCTTCATGACAGCACTATCAGAAAAAGACTGAACAACTTTGGCTTTTGTGGAAGGGTGGCTATTGTAAAAAGCCCCTTCTCTCCAAAAAAATATGGCAGCATGACTTAGGTTTGCAAAAGGTTTTCCGAACAAACAACAAAAGTTCTGGAACAGTATCCTTTGGACTGATGAGACCAAGATGGAGATGTTTGGTCATCATGCACAGCGCCATGATTGGCGAAAACTGAAAACAGTGTATCACCACAAACTGTCAAGCATGGTGGTGTAGGGGTGATGATTTAGACTTGTTATGAAGCCACAGGACCTGAGAAACTTGCAGTCATTAAGACCACTTTACACCAGAATATTTTTGAGACAAATTTGAGGCTATCTGTCCAGCAGCTTAAGCTCGGCCGTAATCGAATCATGCACTAGGACAATGATCCCAAACACACCACCAAATTGACATCTGAATGGCTAAAAAAAATCAAGGTGTTGGAATGGCCAAGTCCAGACCTCAACCCCATTGAGATGCTGTGGCGGGATTGTTCTTTAGGCCCTGATGAATAAAAACCGAGAATTGAAGGAGGGTGTATTTTCTTTTTCCCATGACTCTACATAAGCAGTCAAAATAGCATTAAAAACAATCAGGGTAATAATAATAATAAATTTTATATGTCTTAAGCAGTTAAATATTTTCATATATTTAACATATAAAAATATTTTGCACATGCATTTGTATGAAAAAAATCAATTGATGCCTGCTCTAAAGGTTGAATATTGATGGTCTAAGTGGTATTTTAGACCAAACCCAGGTTGCCTCTGCCATAAGAACCTTGGCCATAGACAATGACCAGAAACATACATCCAAAACAACACAGAAATGTTTGCAGAAACACAAAATGACCAGCTCAGTCTTTGTATTTGCATTGATTTGCATTGATTTGCATTGATTTACATGTGTAATGTACACTCAAGGAGTACTATACTAATACTGGGTAGGGCCTCCCTTTGCTCTTAAAACAGCCTCAATTCTTCATGGCATGGATTCCACAAGATGTTGGAAATGTTCCTGGAGATTTTTCTGATGCACTTTCCTGCTGTGAATCTCCCATTCTACCACATCCCAAAGGTGTTCTATTGGATTTGGATCCAGTGACTGGGAAGGCCACTGAAGAACATGTCATGTTCATGAAATCAGTTTGAGACAAATTTTGCTTTGTGACATGGTGAATTATCATGTGGGAAGTAGCCATTAGAAGATGGGTGAATTGTGGCCATGAAGGGATGCACATGGTCAGCAACAATACTCAAATAGGCTGTGGCATTCAAGCGATTATTGATTGGGATTAACGGGACCAAAATGTTCCAAGAAAACATTCCCCACACCATTACGCCACCTCCACCAGCCTGGACTGTTGACACAAAGTGGGTTGGGTCCATGGATTTAAGCTGTTGGTGCCAAATTCTGACCTTACCATCTCTATGTCTCAGCAGAAATCAATATTCATCAGATCAGGCTATGTTTCTCCAGTCTTCAACTATCCAGTTTTGGTGAGCCTGTGCCCACTGCAGCCTCAGCTTTCTGTTCTTGGCTGACAGAAATGGAACTTCTGCTGACGTGGTCTTCTGCTGTTGTAGCCTGTCTGCCTCAACGTTCAACGTCTTGTGCGTTCTGAGATATTTTTCTGTAGCCTTTCTGTCAGCTCGAACCAGTCTGGCCAGTCGACCTCACTTATCAACAAGGCGTTTCCATCCGCCGAACTGCTGCTCACTGGGTGTTTTTTTTTCTTTACTGCACCATTCTGAGTAAACTCTAGAGACTGTTGTGTGTGAAAATCCCAGGAGATCAGCATTTATAGAAATACTCAAACCAGCCCGTCTGGCACCAACAATCATACCATGGTCAAATCACTGAGATCACATTTTCCACCCATTCTGATGGTTGATGTGAACATTACCCAAAGCTGCGGGCCCATATCTGCATGATTTTATGCATTGCACTGCTGCCACACGATTGGC